CTTACGCAGGACTCGAACCTGCAGCCTCCTCGGCACAGACGACGGCTGCCGCAACCGGGGCCGACTTTGTTATTATTATTATTATTATTATTATTATTATTATTATTATTATTATTATTATTATTAATACTTACGCATCCACATTAATAAAATCATAGTTCCTTGCAACACACCTGTGAAAATAAGATGATATTATAAGAAAGGTTCTTGAAAGAAATTCGAGTGTCTTTAGACGTTTTTTTTGTGAGAAATATCTGGCTCATCGTTTTCAGAACATCTTTTTTCGTCAGTTCGTACAGCATTTGTTATAGAACGATCAATTCTCGTGGTTCTCAATTTATACAATTTTCCGGTAGCAGCCGTATGTTTAACTAAACACTGCAGCTTTTTATCCTCTACCATGAATTTTTGAAAACTCGTCGACTATTGTTATATCACACCGCCCATAGTAATTTCTTGAAAATAATAGACAATTGAAGACATAGAGTCTGTTTCTCTTTACACAACCCGTCAACAATGGCTTTATGTCGTGCCTTTTTTGAAAAGAAGTTTTTTTTCCATATGCCTTTTTCCAAGTAAGATTTGGCTTGAGTTGTAACTTCTATTTGAATCCCTTGGCTTAAATTACTGAAGTAAGTACGTTGGCGATTGTAAGAAAATATTTGCGATATTGATACTTTGTGGTAAAGCGATATTTCTAAGCTAGCTCTTTTCAGCTAAGCGATATATGGCTAAAATACTATTGATGTAATTCTAATTTGAGCCAAACACAATGAAGTAACATTAATTTCCCATCTGTCAGATCGAAACACCAAAAATCTTCGGAATTCAGGAACTGGCTCATACCTCATTTGTAGTAAGATCTATATTTCAGTGTGATCTGCCAATACTAAGAGCTCATGTCACGTCTCTTAGCTCACGAACAAGTTACTCGAGCAAACAATCGTAGTGAAAACAATCTGAATGGAATGTCAGCTGAATGGGCGGCCCTTGATACTTCGGGATGAACAGTTTTCTTAATAATATTCACACATTCTTTCACGACCTCGGCAGTGTTCTGCCCAACACTCATATCCATCCACATCTCCTAGTTCTTTTCCATCCTCCGGGATCCTTTTAGATCAAATATCTTATTCCCTGAATCTAATATTAACACTACCTACACCATATTCATTACTGTACATCTGTTGCTCCTTTCAGCGTCTTACATTTCAATAAGAGGTTAGTCGTTGCTAAAAGCTGAGTTGGTGTATGTATGTGTGTGTGTGTGTGTGTGTGTGTGTGTACACCTGTGATGTTGGTGTAGGTGTATGAACCTGTGGCGGAGGCCACGAACGTGCTCGAGGATACCTGATAGACCAGCCTTCGACTGTTTGTGCCTGACTCGAGTAACAGCATATTTGCATCTCTTGAGCACACCTATTGCGCATACGTTGAAGGCTCTGAACGCTACAGTATTCCTCCTGTGTCGTGCAAGTTCGCAATTAAGCGAGAAGTTCAAGAGGCAAAACGTTGAAAACCGGACGTGAAACCTGGCGAATCGGAAAATTATCAATAATCACATTATGAAGTCGTGAGAACAGTTTTTGTTTTGCATTAAATGTTTGGGTAGGCTCCACCTTTCAGTAATGTATAGCTAAGCCAATGATTACGTAGTGATGTGCACAGATTTGCGTGCTCTAGTAGAGCGTTTGTATTGCTCTGGTAAGCACTGGCAAATTTTTAAATTAAGAAACCTGACATAATTTTTAAAACTTAAGCAATTACGAGGAAAAATAAATTTGATTTTTCTGCTTACTGCATTATCAGGAACATTTATTTTCCAGAATTGAACTTTCTTAAATAGATAAAAAGGAAAATATACAATATTATAGGAGAATTCCAAAATATAAAAGAGAATGCTTCATTTTAAACGAGAGTCAATTGTCCCTCAATACTCTAGGATAAAGTGAAAACATATTCGCAAATAGAAGCTAATCTTCAAGGATAGTAAGTCAGATACAAAAGTAAAGAACGGTGACAGTATAAAATGGACATTTTGAAATACTTAAAAGTTCCAATTACTTGTGACGTAATAATCATAACTGGCATTATCATCACCGGCAAAACTGAAAAAAACTCAAGTTAACTAGGGTACTTGTCCTTGCAATACAACGTGCACCGCAACCCATATGTTCTCCAAGTTTTCAAGGAAACAAAGAAGTAATATCACGAAGCAGCGTCGCCCGTTGGGGCCACTCCACGCCCAGAAGAAAGAAAGCAATTACGTTCCGACAACCGACAATTTTGTGCGACAAAAGAAGACTGTCATGACCAGTTAATAGAAGCAGCCGAGGCATCTACTTTGAGAGCAAGTATTGACGAAACACTTTTGTGCAGGAAAGAAGTATACGAGAGAGGAAGGTTTTGAGCTAATTGGGGTGAGGAGGAAAGACGCGACGTCTCCGGGCTTGCATTTCTGAGAACAGCTTATTGGCAATCTCTCGAAGAACTCGCTCGTTTTTATTTTCAGATGAAATGCGTCAGCGAAGACATGTTGGTAAGTCATGCCATTAGTAGTCTCTCCGTGAATAATATTAAAGATTGTAATTCCAATACCTGGAGTACAGGCAGGGCAATAAAAATTGGACTATTTTGTGTGAAAGAGCACATATTTGCATATAAATCCTAGGAGTATAAGCACTATTTCATGGGTTCTGGCGACGAATCAATTGAATTACGTGCGATGATTTGTTGAGATATTATTTTCAAACAATTTCATTAATTAATTAATCGTCAAAACAACAAAAATACTTTTGGTGAGTGGGAGAATACGGTGAACGATGTGCGAATGTTTTCTTGAGCTTCAGAACTACTCTAGTATTTTACATTTTCGGCTAATATACCTAAATTTTAAAAATGATCTACATCAAGAACTAAAGAGTCTACACTGACAGCCATTACTGTACATAACAATTACAAACCAAAATATAGGATAAAACAATCTTAATTTTGACCAATACACGGTGGCAAACACAATTGTTTCCTTCCTTATCAAAGAGAGTAAAACACAAAAGTATACAGAATACAATTAACGTGGTTAAATTACATTTATGTTTGCATGGAAAACAATATGAAAAGTGTTTGTTATCGAATCCTTTCCGCCATGACATAAAAACTAAATGTCCTGAGATAAGTTTTACAAAATAAATAATACTATGTAGCCATTTCTATATTCAGAGCAATTTGTAACAACATACATGAATAAGCAAAATATTTAATGTACTCGTAACGTGTGTTCGAAACTGAAAATGTTAAATGTTATTCACAATGATCCTTTATTATTTTTATTATATTTAAAAGAAAATTAAGGCTTGAATCGTATATACTACACATTACATAGAAATAGGACACCGAGAAAAATTACCAATTTTAGAATTACTAAAAAAACTTACGGTACACACAATTGCATCATAACAATTTAATATCAAGGAGTTATTTAAAATAAGCTTTTTGTGTCTCTTACGGGAAGGAAAGGTTAGTGTAAATTACAAACAATAGTGAACCCAAAACGACTCTAGTGGAACACCTAAATCTATATTTATTTCATCTGTGATAACATATTATACTTCACTTTTCGCTTTATATTCTTTAGATGTGAAACAAATAACTTTTAATGTCTCCTTTGATTCCATATTTATATATTTTCTCAAAAAGCATTGTCTTGTCAGTAGTTCTTGAGATCCAAGAAGATAACTGCTGTTTTATTTCCAGAAAAAATATTAATCTTTCATCTGATTGTATTTAGTTTCACATGACTTCTCTAAAGCCTGATTGCTCATTTACTATAGTTTCTATTTTATTTATTTCAGTATAGACGTTCAATTTTAATATTGCTTCTAATATTTTTTTATATATATCAATAACTTATTTATTTACTTAAATTCGGTCGCTTTATTTGTATTTGTCTTTATAAGATCTGAACAACTCGAGAAAACTACGGATCTCATCTTAATAAACATATCATTCATAATGTTTCACTTTCTCTCGTACAGTCCACAAATAGTTCATCAGGATAATCTGAATCATGATTAATTTTCTACATGTAAGCGGGAAACAATTTCATAGAGAAGCACAACAAATATTTGTATTTATACATCTTTATTGTAAGCAAAACCCTATTTCCATCTCACTTTATTAATTATATTATGTGCAGAAAACGCGGAGAATATTCGAACAGTTCACGTTACATAATTGAATGTAAAATAAACAACCACACACCAGGGGGAATATACATTTTCAGCAGTTTTACCAATATCATTCATAGAAATAATTTTCATTAATTAATTATTCGATTACGCGTTATACTTAACTACATTTCACAGGGCAGCACTTAGATAGTTACTCTTGGCTCAAGTGTTTCGTATTTTAATTTTACCTATGGCTAAGCTAGAACAGATTGCGCGTACTCCAAAAAAATTGTATTTTTGTTAAATTAGCACTTGTCGGGGCAACTTTTTAAGTTGCAAAAGCGCTGATTTGATTCTTGATTGCCCCAACGTATTCGTACCAAATTGCTTGCAATCACTTTAGTGTTACTAATTATTATGTGTTACATTGTGTTGTTTCACAAAATTTTCAATTATTTCAAAACAATTTCACTTTTATAAAATATATTTTTCATCTTATATTAATGCATATTGATGTGCCATCGTATTGTAACTGGTATATTTATTTAAGATTGCATGATGGCGAATTGTTGAAGTTGCATTGAATGGGTAAATGAGTATCTTAAAATGCAAGGAAGAAAAGTATCTCTTTTCTTTAACTTATATTTTTCAACGCTCATAAATGGAACCTAGTACTTCCCAACATTGTTGATTGTTTAAAAAGTGTAATTTCGCAGTACACATACGGCAAAATAGTCATTGCCTTACTCTTACTGCAAAGAAGTCGAGATGATGATATACCATATAAAACCATAAGGTATCCACACAGTCGACGGCGGACCGCGGTACTAGCAACATCGTATGCTCTGTTCGCGTGTGCTTTCGACAGTGTTTCTAATACCTTATTTGGTGTACACATAAACAAAACTGTGATATAGTTTCTTCTTCAAGTGTATTCTGTGTGTGGCTGCTACTCAAAAGAGTGGCAACTAGCGTCAATATGGATACACTGAACAACAAGGAAAATATAACCTCGAACGCCCAACAACAACAACATGGATCAAACTTGAAATCTTATGCTGGAGCTGCGACAATGGACATTTTCCCGTCAAAGGACCAAGCAATTATTATAGAAGCCCACGAAGGACTTGCAATAAAAGATTAGGTGAGTAAAATGTCAATCTTTATCAATCCAAGTGATATGAGATTTGTGTCGCGTACAGCGAATAATAGGGTTTGTGTGTTCTTAAGTACCAAGAAAGTCGCTAACTACCTAACAGATAACCATCAAACTTTCACTATTAATGACATTGAAGTGAGTGTTAGACCCCTTTGAAGCAAACATGCAAGAGTTATAATATCCAATGGAAGTCCAGTAATCCCACTTGATGTGATAAAAAATGCTCTTCAACAATCGAATATTCAATTTTTTTCTAACATTACATTTATTAGAGAAGGTCCTCCTGAACCAGGTATGTCTCATATTGTGAGCTTCAGGTGACAAGTTTTTGTTCGCCTAGGTGAAGTACATAAATTAAATACCACAATCACTTATGATTTCATATGATGATATAACATATAGACTATTTTTCACAACTGATAATATCACCTGTTTCAAATGCAAAAATTAAGGCCAAATTGCTAGCAAGTGCCCTATTAATAACATTAGCCTTTCACCAATTATAAATAGAGCAACAGATAACAATAATTACAATATTTTAATAGAGATTCCCCCGTACAGAAGCACCAGGTGATAATCCATCTGGCTCGATTGCTATGGATTATACAAACTTCCCTCCTATCAACAAAAGGAGCCTCCCATCTGAATCATCTTCTACACCTGAGAATATATCAACTAGTGATGTAAAAGATAAATATGAAGGCTATAAACCCTCAAAGAAAGAGAGAGTAAAAAATGCAAGTGAAAAACCTGCCTCTCAAGACAATTTAGTTAAAAAGTCAATAGAAGATCTTTTGCTCCCAATCAAAACCTCTATTGACTCAAACCAAGACAAACTTCCTCTCTCACACACCCAATTCAAATCATTCCTTGAAAACTCTCTTGGAACACCTGACCCCATTTCTATTATGAAAGATTATTCAACTGATTTTAATGCAATAATTGGAATGCTGAAAGAAACTTATAAACTATTGAATGAAAGATCTATAAAGGGCAGATTTATAACAGTTACTAGAGTGTTAGAAAAAATATTTCCAGCAGAGACATCTCAGACTCAGAATTCAGTTTAGACAGCACCTAAATAATGTATGTACTTTTTCAGATCATTCCATAGAATTTAAATCATGCTGACACATCTGAAAGTAGAATATAATACAAAGAAGAAGATATGATAGTTCTGCAATGTCTTTTAAAACTTACAATATTTATGCAAACTACATAGCCCTGATATAATCTGTATACAGGAGACAAACTTTAAAGGAAAAACACATGGGAATATAACTGGATATACTTGCACCTTTAAAAATGGAAGTGATCCTGAATATGCATGTGGTGGTGTGGTAATATATTCCAAAAAATCAATTCTCATTGACATTCTAAAAATTCAAACTTACATGGAATTTGTGGCATTTGAAATTAATTCAACTAACCCCATATGTATTGGAAATGTTTATATCCCTAATAGGTACTCACTACAAGAAATCGAAATGAATGATATTATAAACCAGATAAAAGAGCCCTTCATAATTCTTGGAGACTTTAACTGCCACCACTCTTTATGGGGATCGTACAAAATTTATAAAAGAGTCAGTCTATTGGAAAAAGTAATTGACGGCCATGACAGCATCATCCTCAACTGTGGTGATCCCACACATATTAATATCAGTAACAGTAGACTAAGTACGACTGATCTTTCAATAACTTCTCCCACAATAGCACAGAAATGTTCCTGGAATGTTATGGATTTTCCCTATGATAGTGATCATTTTCCAATACTGATTGATATCCATGAACCAAGTGTATCCATCAATGGCGCAAAGCAATTCCTAATTATAAGAATATTAATTGGCTGGACTATCAGAAAAAAAATCGATGAGCACCTCAATGAAGAAGATATTTTCAAGGACGACAACAATATTGACCGGATAGTAAAATCATTCTGTAATATTATATCCAAATTGCTAGCTCAATATCACGAACGCACCATGGCCCGTTTAAGTTCAAAGCGTTCCATGGTAGAATTCTGAATGCTAAGTCGCTATTAGAAACGCTAAAAAATCATTGAACCGGTATAAAAAAAGAAGAGATAATGATAGTCGAATTAACTATAAGAGAACTAGAGCTATTGCCCGCAGAACTGTAAAAATAAACAAAGCTAGATCATGGACTGAATATATTTCCTCAGTAAACTGCCAATCGAACTCAGCTGAGAGTTGGAAAAAAATCAAATCCATACGTGGTATGAAGACGAACAGTACTATACATTTCTTGCGTTGCAATGAACAGATAATTAGCGACCCCAAAATTATTGCTGATGAATTTGCTGAAACCTTCATGAAAAATTCCAGCACTACTAATTACCATACGGAATTCATCACATAAAAATAAAAAGCTGAAAGTGCATCAAATATGACACCTACTGATGACATCAACTATGATAATGACATGAATTCTCCAATGTTCATGCACGAACTACAACAAGTTTTAAAAAAGATCAACAACTCATCTCCTGGTCTAGACAATATTCCAAACTGCCTAATTAAAAATCTCCCTTAGATTGGTATTAACATTTTATTAAAAGTATATAACCATATATGGCTAAATAATGTTTTGCCTGAACTCTGGAAAACTGCCACCGTCATTCCGATTCCCAAACCGGGCAAAGACCAGTCAAATAGCTATAATTACTGACCAATCTCACTGTCTGGCAACCTATGGAAAATATTAGAAAAAGTCGTTAGCAAAAGAATAAGGTGGTTCCTCGAAACTCGTCATTTAATAAAAGACAACCATTTTGGATTCAGAACTGGTCACTCCACCACCTCGCATATTATCAGCACGACAACGATAATCCAAGAAGCCTTTCTTCACGGACAGCATGTTATCGTAGTAAATCTAGACATCGAAAAAGCATACGATATGGTATGGACACACCGTATAGCTGCTAAATTACTTAGTATTGGTATTAAGGGCAGCAATATGTTTAAGTTCCTTGCCAACATTATTAGCAACAGATGTATTCAAGTACGTATAAGTAATAATTTACCAACAATTAAGAAACTTAATAATGGGCTACCGCAAGGATCAGTGCTCAGTGTGACTCTATTTTTAATCGCCATAAATGACGCCGATGATGATATTGTAAAGTTGCCCAGTTGTCGCGCGGAAATACGCCGATTATATGGTGTTACTATGCAAAGGAAGAACCTTCGATTCAACCAATGAAGTAATGCAAACTGGTGTAAACTGTATTTACGAATGGTCAATGAAAACTGGTTTCAAATTATCGACAGATAAATCTGAATGTATGACATTTTCTAAGAAATTAAGCCCCTTCTGCCCGAAATTATTCCTGGGCAACAAAGCCATTAAGACTGTCACACATACAAAAATCTTGGGCCTTAATTTGACCATAGTCTCACATGTCAAGAACATATATCTAAAACATACGCAGAATGCAAAAATCGACTTAACATCCTGAAGTGTCTTAATCACAACAACTGGGGATCAGACAAAAATACCTTCCAACTTTCATACAAAGCCTGAATAAGAAGTAAAATAGATTACGGATCTATTGTTTATAATTCAGCGTGCAATTCAACTTTCAAGAAACTGGACAACCTGCACAATTGCGGACTCACAATAAGCACTGGTTGCTTTCATACAAGCCCAACTGGTAGTATTCTCATCGAAGCGGCTGAACCTGCATTTTGAAGACAAACCCTGGCAATGATATACGCAGTTAAAGCCAAAATATCCTTAAATAAGATAATACGTAATGATGTATCCCCTGGAATTAGAAGTGGAAATCCACAGTGTTCTACACCTTTCTATAATAAAGTAGCTACGCTATTCAGCTCCCTCAACATTTCGAGGCTTCCTATAGAAAGTCAAAAGATCCCCGCTGTAAATCCCTGGACCGTCAACATCATTGAAGTCGATAAGTCTTTGGTTGAAGTTCAGCAGAACAACCTTGACTTAGACGAATGGAAACTTAAATTGTGCGAAGCGTATGATAAAAACAAAAATATCTACAATATCTTCATTGACGGACGGAATAATACATCATTTTCTGAGGCCATTGTGAAGGATCCCAAATCACTGGTGAAATTCCGATTTATGAACATTGCTAGTCAAGAAAATATGTTAAACCATGCAATTCTGGATGCGCTTGAAAAGATAATCCATAACTGCACCGATGCCACTATCCCTAATAACATTTCTAAAGATATCTTCAAAATATATGGTGAAACACATTCCAAAACGACGGCTCAAATTAAAGAACTACTTCTTATGGTTAAACTTCAAGACTTATCCCGTTCAGCCGATTTTATTAAAATTCATATTAGTCAATCGATCTGCAAAATTCTTTGGATACATTTTCAGACTATCAATTCCTCAGCACAATATCCTACTGTAAAATAGTTGAAACTATTGGTGCAACATAATGGCACAGACTTTCCCGTATTCGTTTTCTGTTTCATTTGGACACGGCTAGCTGCTCGGACTTGCCACATACTCTTGCCAGTTGCCATCGATCGCCGCTAAAAATACTTTTTTTTACACTTTCTTAATTTTTCGGTTTCGTAATTTTACATCGGAAATATTATTTTAATATTATTTATTTTAAGATTATTTAAGAAATATTATTTTAACAGTAAAATCTCGACCTAAATGAAAATTTTATTTGAAAAAGCTGGAGCCATTTTTAAGAACATGGTGCTTAAGCGCAACTGTAAATTCGAAATGTGAAGCTCTTTTTCAAAGAAAATTTTTGAATTTTCGAAAAACTTCATTCGAACTCAATTAAAGAATTTTAACACATAAATACAATAGTGTTTACAAATTGCTGGAAATATGCATGTAAACGGCATGAGAAATCTTTCAAACAATTTACATTTGTGTAATTTTTGAAAAAAACAACTGAATACAGAAAAATTAGTTCTATGTCACCTTAAACAGTTTAATTAGCACTATCGCTTGGA